CTTTTGGCCAAGTGTTTTTCGAACCATTCAGCTGCCTAGACAAATGTGTGTGTGTCTGCTAGTGTGTGTGTGCTCAACAATAGAGGCCTGTTGGATTTTTTCTTTCTTTCTTCTTTTTTTTTTTTTTTTTGGTTCTCTTCTCTTTTGGCCAAGTGTTTTTCGAACCATTCAGCTGCCTAGACAAATGTGTGTGTGTCTGCTAGTGTGTGTGTGCTCAACAATAGAGTGCGTGTGGATTTTTCATGGCAAGCGAACGTTGCAAGAGGCGCTGCTGGGTTCCAACTGACCTGCGGCGCCGGCGACAGAGGACGCAAGTGCGAGCGAGTCAGCGCGTAGCTAACTGAGTCTGCGTGCATGTGTGAGTGTGTGTGTGCCGTGTCGCAGTGGCTTAGGTGCAATAATAGCATTGGGAATTCCACAGCTAGACAAAAGGCGGAACTAAATACCTGCGGCTGGGATTTACGAATTACCACGTGAACAGCTACACTAGCCAAGCACATTTGTATGTGTGCGGGAGTATAGCTGTGTGTGTGTGTGTGCAACAACTAATGCCGAAGCTACATAGTGAGCAGGCCTCTTTCATTGAGAAGCATCTAACACTCGACTATTCCAAGTGCATTCTCTCCCTCTCCCTCTCTCTCTCTCTCTCTCTCTCTCTCTCTCTCTGTCACTCTTCGCTTCGCTTTATCCTTGCAGCCTGGGACACCTTGTGGCATCTGTTCTCGCTTAGAGCGAACAGCAGGTTGGCCCTGTGTCTTGTGTCTACGGCGGGTATTTCCCCGGACTACAAGGTGTGAAATTTTTATTTGCATGCTTCGCCCCGCACTTACTTTGCGCTGTTAGCAACATTTTGTTTTATTTCATTTTCGTTTATTTTTTCTTCGTCTTCTTCTTACTCGTCATCTCCGACTACCATTTCGTCCTGGTCCTGGTAATTCCCATTTGAAAGGTGAGAGATTTGCTGGCGAACAAAAACCGATCCTTTTTCGTCCAATGGATGCCCACAATTTTCTGGCTGTAACACGTATTTTCCCAAAGGTCATCCAACGTGACAGTTGCAATACATTTCTCTTGTCCTTGATGCTTAGACACATACACTAATACACACACACACATACACACATCTATGTAGCAGCTCTTAAGTCTGGCTTAAGTGGGCCAATGGATCAGTCCAGTGCCGTGCACTTAGACACAAGTTAATTCCCGATTAGGTCAATTGAGCGCCCCCAGCAAAGTGAAACAGCAAGAAAATCTCTTGCATCGATATGCTAGGTATATTTCATTGTGCAATTACTTAGCTAAATTGATTGTTGCTGATGTTTTACTGGCCTATGCAATAGTATTGCCA